AACCCCTATAGAAAGGGTTTGGGGTTTAGGATTGAGGGTTTAGGGTTTTAGGGTTTAGGGTTTAGGGTTTAGGGTTAGGGTTCCCCACCCAGCCCAGATGGAAAAAGGGTTTAGGGTTTAGGGTTTACGCATGGGGTCCTCAACAATTTTCTTGCTCCCGGGAGCACCATACCCCTTAAGTAAGGAATATGCTTTGTAGCATCCAGCGATTGAGGGTGTAAGGTTAAACTTGCTATGTTGCCTGGTTCGAGACTGCTGATGATGCATCAGGCCAACCCTAAACCCTAAACCCTAAACCCTAAACCCTAAACCCCAAGCAATGAAGCGCCTCGGCCGCGCATGCCAGTGTGAGAGTCGTCTAGAGCAGGGACTCCGTTTCAGTGCATCTTCTAAACCCCAAACCCCAAACCCTAAACCCTAAACCCTAAACCCCAGAACCCCTAAACCCTAAACCCTAAACCCTAAACGAATCCTAAACCGCTCTTTTTTTGCCCAGAGAGGCAAGGACTGGGGGGGGGGGCGACCCGGGGCTTCCATAGGAATTAGCACACTACGGCGCAGCGATGTTCCTCATTCCCGAGAATCCGCCAAGTTTATTGGGGGGGCGTTCGACTTTCTTTTGTCCCAGGGTTTAGGGTTTAGGGTTTAGGGTTTAGGGTTTAGGGTTTAGGGTTTAGGGTTTAGAGTTAGGGTTTAGGGTGTAGGGTGCAGGGTGTTTGGGGTTTAGGAACCCTAAACCCTCAACGCACAGGCCAAAGATGACTGCGACGTCCCACCAGCCGGGGACTTAAACTGCTTGTCTCCCCCGAGTGTTTTAGTCCCTAAACCCTAAACCCTAAACCCTAAACCCTAAACCCTGGAGCCTCAGTATGGTGGAGTTTAGAGGCTTTTTGAGGCCCTCCTTAAGGGGCCGCTTTGAAGCGCCTTGCCCTGGGCAGGTTTCTATGAAAATGCTGGTTCCGCATTGCGGGTTGAGAGCCACAAACTCGAAGGCTCATGGGTAGTTATCAGTAGGGTTATATAAGTGCCTCAAGTGTGGTAGTATAGGTTACCATACTCTTAACCGTACTTATAACTACCCATGAACCTTCAAGTATCCCTAAACCCTGAGCCCTAAACCCTAAACCCTAAACCCTAAACGTGTCTCTTAGCTCATGGGTTTCGGACGAGTTTGTCGCAGTTCGAAGCCTGCCTGCCGCGAAGGGATTGGGCTTCACGTTTGTGTGGTGCTCCTCAAGATGGCATTTAGGAACCTTCATACATAATAGTCAGAATAATAGTAACAATTGCAATAACCATAATAAGTAGTCATAATAATTGTAATATTTATAATAATATTACTAATAGTCATAACGATAATACTAGTAAGAGTCGTAATAATGGGCCGAGGATGACGACTACGCTGCTGAGATCTCCCAGCAGGTTGAGGATTCGCCAATAGCTGGAGCAGGCAAGCACGGGATTAAATCGAAACGCCTTTCAATCGTACATTTTTGCGACCTAGAAAACACTCCTCCTTGACGGAGTTGAAACCCCAAACCCTCAACCCTTGTAGCATCAGACTCCGCAGTGCTGTGGCCAGTCGGGTGGCAAAATACCCCTTATGAACCCCAAGCCCTAAGCTGTAAACCCTATAACCCGAAACCCTACACCCTACACCCTCAACCCTAAACCCCAAACCCTAAACCCTAAACCCTAAACCCTAAACCCTAAACCCTAAACCCTAAACCCTAAACCCTAAACCTTGGTTTGGGCTTCACTGCTGTTTCTTGCGGTCAGCTCCTCCTTGGGCGAGAGTCCGGAAGCGTTGGGTTCTGGACAAGACCAAGCCACACACAGGGGTCTTCGAAGTTAGGGTTCCTGTTTGGTTTAGGGTTTAGGGTTTAGGGTTTAGGGTTTAGGGTTTAGGGTTTAGGGTTTAGGGTTTAGGGTTTTACTGTTTTGGGGGTGGTTCCTACACTTTAAGGGTTGTAGCATTTGGAGGTCTATGAGGGATACCCCTATTTTGGGAACATATACACAAAGATGTATGCTGCACAAGCTGCAGTATCCCTTCTGGGTATTGATGGGTTTAGGGTTGAGGGTTTAGGGTTTAGGGTTTAGGGTTTAGGCCACAGTACCCGCAGCTTTGCGTGTGCCGCAGGATCGACCTTGGGCCCCCAGTTTTGTTTTCTCCCGCCCTAAACCCTAAAACCCTAAACCTTAAACCCTAAACCCTAAAACCCTAAACCCTAAAGCCCTAAAACCCTAAACCCCAAACCCTAAACCACCTTCGCCCTTAAAGCGTAGGATGTAGTTTTAGGGCCTAAAGTTGCTGGGCCCCAGCTCAGCCAAGCGCAACAGTTGCGGCTTCAGGGCGTTTATGCGGCTCGACCCTAAACCCTTTCAACCCTAAATCCTACACCACTAATTGCTTAAGAACCCCGGCAAAAAATATTCTTCCTTATTATGGATGATTACTTTGTATTCCTTTGGGGTTCTTAAGCAAATAGTAAGTAGTACATGTGCAGGCAGCGCAAGCCTACCCAACGAGCAGCCGGCCAGCAATTCACGGTACACCGGGCGGGCTATTTTTTGGGATTTTGAGGTTCGGAATTCGGTGTTTCGCAGCCCTCAACCCTAAACCCTAAACCCTAAACCCTAAACCCTAAACCCTAAACCCTAAACCCTAAACCCTAAACCCCCAAACCAATCATGCTCGCAACCAAAGCCCTACTTAAACCCTACTTAAACCGTGTAGGAGGTTCGAGGAGCCCCCAGTTCCAGAGATTTCCGTCTTCGTTATGGGCTATAAATTTATGGGTGAGGTTTAGGGTTTAGGGTTTAGGGTGTAGGGTGTAGGGTTTAGGAGGCTAGGGAATCTAGTCGGAGGAAACTCCACCTTCCCGCAAAGAACAGGGTAGCCTTACTGCGCCTTATAGGCCCTAAGCCTGCAAAGGGTTGTTAAAGTTTGTGACTTCGGATCTGGAAAATGTCAGAGACTCACCCTAAACCCTAAACCCCAAACCTGGGGACCATGGTCCCATCCTTTTGCGACACAGGCCCAGGCCCAGGCCCAGGCTTTAGGATCTGCACAGGGCTGATTGTGAATTCCGGAATCGTTCGGGATTTGGGGTTTAGGGTTTCGGCTTTAGGGTTTAGGGTTTAGGCACGCAGCACCGTCCAAAGTCTGTGATCCGCCTGCACAAGGTTTAGGGTTTAGGGTTTAGGGATAGGGTTTAGGGTTTAGGGTTTAGGGTTTAGGGTTTAGGGTTTAGGTTTTAGGTTTTAGGGTTTAGAGGGATGTTGGGAGGGAGCCCCCTTTCAGGAGGTATGAAGGAGCCTTAACGGACGGCTGTGGCTTCCAAAGAATAACTGCAAGCCCCCGCGCGCTCCCCTGTATCCCAAGGCCACAGAAGTCTGTCCCGACCTCGGAACGTGGGGTTTAGGGTTTAGGGTTTAGGGTTTAGGGTAAAAAAAGGGTTTAGCGGCTTTAGGGTTCAAAGGGGTTTGGGGTTTTAAACAAGCGTGGGTGCGGGTTCGCAGAGTGTAACCAAGCCTGTGCAGTAGTTGCTTGTGGGCAGAAAAGCTTCTGAAAGGGCGGGCACGCCCAATGTTAGGGTCGGGTTGCCACGCCTGAGGGTGTTTTGTTTTTGTGGCAAAGGAGGGGTCGGGTTTAGGCTTTTGGTTGTTGGTGCGCACAACGTCTGCATCCTGGCCCAGGTTTCACTGAACCTCCTGCCAGTGTCGGGCTTAGCTCAAGAGAAAACAGAACGTTGCGTTGGGCTAGAGAGGTCGGGGTGGGCCATTGGGGAAGGGACTACAGGAAGGACTAGAAGGGACCTCATTAGGGGTAATTTAGGAGGCTACTTAGGTTTGTAGGGACTGTATAAGGTCTATATAGGGGAGATTTGGAATAAGATTAAGGGTCTCTTCAAGGGGCCCCTCCTTATACCCCTTAAGCTAAGGTCAATGTTCCCGAAACCTGTAGAAACCTCCCAGCCACGCGGGCCTTCAACACGCCCGCGTGACCAGCAAGCAGTGGTAGATTCCACCCTCAACCCTGAATCTTGACCCTACTCGAAGGTTCATGGGGTAGGTATAGTAGGGTTTTACATAAGGTAACCTATATTAAAACCTCGACTGCCATACTTCTAGCCCTAAACCCTAAACCCTAAACCCTAAACCCTAAATCCTAAATCCTAAACCCTAAACCCTAAACCCTAAACCCTAAACCCTAAACCCTAAACCCTGTACTGATAACTACTCCTGAACCTCCGAGTCGACCCGCTGGTTGCAGGGGGCTTACGGAGCATGTCGAGGGATTCTGCATACATTCCCCGAAAACAAAAAGGGGGTTCCCGCGCTAAACCCTAAACCCTAAACCCTAAACCCTAAACCCTAAACCCTAAACCCTAAACCCTAAACCCTAAACCCTAAACCCTAAACCCTAAACCCTAAACCCTAAACCCTAGGCTTGGATCCCGAACTGATATGCTTGAACCCTAAATTGAACCCTAAGCCCTAAACCCTAAACCTTAAAGGGTGGTCAAAGATGCCCTGGATCCCCCCCCCCGGTGCCGGTCAACCCTGATTGTCGAGTGGAGAGTGATATTGCCATGTTGAACTCGATGCTCCGATTGTATGGTTTATGGTTTAGGGTTTAGGTTTAGGGTTTAGGGTTAAGGGTTTAGGGTTTAGGGTTTAGGGTTTGGGGTTTAGGGTTTAGGGTTTAGGGTTTTAGGGATCCACAGTCCGAAAGTTTCACCCAACTGTGCCCAACTTGAGAGAATACCGGAGCAGCCTGTCACGAGTGCCGACTACACGCATCTCCTCTAAGCTCTCTAAGCCCTGCAGCACCTGCTGCCAAGGAAGTAGAAGAGAATGCTCCAAAGGACCTGCCAGCTCATCTCGCCAGTTGGGGGGCTTCCTGCCCTTTGCAGGTCTCAGTAAAGCCCACTGTTTCAAGACATTTCCGAATTTAGAAACCAGAACCCCCGCTCCCTCTGTTTCTAGGCATCATGGACCAAGATTTTGCACATTCGACCTGCATTCAGCTGGTGGGAGTTGACCTGGGCTGCTCGTTTGAGATTCTGCCAAAGAGGGTGTCAGCTTTGGGTCCAATTCCAACAAAGGGTACTGAGCCGGGTACTGCACGCGGCATGCCCGTGCAATCTGTGAACTGGGTCCTCGCTGGGTGCTTGTTGTCAGGAAGGTTTCAGAACTCTGGCACGGACCCTAAGCCCTAAACCCTAACCCTAAACCCTAAACCCTCAACCCTAAACCCTAAACCCTATTACCCTAAACCCTAAAAGACCTATGCAGGAGCTTCTCGGAGACGACCTGCTGGATGACCTGCAGAAAAGGAAAGGCCCTAGCAAGGCTGATGAGGAGGCAAGCGTACTGTCCTTCGCAACGTCACTTAGTGGCCCAGTGGTACCCTTTGCCCTTTTTTTGGGTTCACTTATAAAGTAGCCTAAACCCTAAACCCTAAACCCTAAATCCTAAACCCAGGTCCAGTTGGGCTGCCGGGAGTGGCGTGGACTCCGAAAGCTCCGGTGGCACTCATTCTGGTGGCGTCAAGCACACGAGCCTCGGAACTCTTGGGCATAGGGTTTAGGGTTTAGGGTCTTGGGCATGTTCTCCCGTCGGTTTGGTTGCTTATTGCATCTCTCTTTTTTTTGCAGTAGTCATCAACCCAAGCCACGCAACAGCCAGGTTTTTAGTCTTCATAGAGCCCACAGGCCCCAAGGCACCGTGAGCATCCAAGGAAGAGCGACAAAAGCGACACAGGCGCAGCTCTCCATCCTAAACCCTAAACCCTAAACCCTAAACCCTAAACCCTAATCATGTGACGGGTACCGCTGAGATGCCGCACGCTTGCGGCGTGCGCTCTAAGCGCCTTATTTGTCTCGACCCCGGCCGACGCCGACTGAGAACCCTGTGGCCAAGAACATGGGAGAACAAGGGCTTTGTTTGTGAGCTGTTCAGCTTTGCAGAAGTGTGTAGTGCACCCTAAACCCTGAGCCTTAAACCCGAAACCCTAAACGGCCTAAAACCCTAAACCCTACACCCGGGGCTGAAAGATCCTGAAAAGACTCTTTGCGGGCTTCGAGCGTGGGAGCATAGTCCCAACATGCCCACTCTTTTCACGAGCTTATGGGGGTATGTGAGGTGTATAATAGGGTTTTCCCCAAAGTAAGGGCCCATAAGAGGGATACAGACGTCCGCCAGGCAAGGGCGCAGAAGTCGCAGCAGCGTCCGATTCGCCTAAGCGCCTTGGCCGCTTTGGGCGTCACCGCCGGTGTCGCCGTCGCAGCAGTACTTGGAGGTTCATGGTACTTGCTAACCAATCATAATTGTGCTTTTAACTGTACTTATGACCATATAAGGGCCCTTAAGGGGCTTAAAAGTGGGATATAAGTACAGTTATACTTGGGTTAATAAGTACCATGAACCTACAAGTAGTGGTAGGAGGAGTATCAGTTAGCACCAGGACTAGCAGTAGCAGTACCCGTAGCACCAGAAGGAGGAGCAGTAACAAGAAACCCTAAACTTTAAACCCTAAACCCTAAACCACGGAGTAGGAATAGTAGGAACAGCCACGAGCAGGCCTATGCAAAGGTTTCCAGGCATACGCGGCAGCCAACTTGTGCTCGGAAGGGGAGCATGGGGAGCTAGACCTTGGCGGCAGCTGCTCCGTCCGATGTTAGGGTTTAGGGTTTAGGGTTTAGGGTTTAGGTCGGCAGAGCTCGCGGGGTCAACAAAAAGGGTCTAGGGTTTAGGGTTGAGATCTGGCTTGCCCTCAAAGCCCATGAAAGAAAATGTTCAGGATTTCGGGTCTAGCGTCTATTGTTTAGGGTTTAGGGTTTAGGGTTTGGGGTCTAGCGTCTATTGTTTAGGGTTTAGGATGGTTGTGAGCCCATGAGAATGGCTTAGCTCGCCACAACTAATTGCATGCTTTGGAAGGGGCATTTGGTCCCTGCGTTCCAGCAGCCCAAACCTACCTTTTAAATTTGCAGGTTACCTAGGAATCCTGTAAGGGATCTCATACTCACATCCTGCAAGAAGTAGGTTATGGGTTCTGATGGCGTGCCCAACAGCGACCTCATGTCGAGCAGGTGTTGCTTTAAGGTTCAGGGGTAGTTGCAAGTAGGCTTAGAGTAGAGGTAACTTCTATTATCCTCAGTGAAGGACTTAAACCCCTACTTCTAACGACCCATGAACCTTCAAGTATAGGGATTCAAAGGCCCCCTATTCACCTCGCACCAGGCCGAAGAAGAAGGCCAAAGCAAAGCCGAAAGCAAAGACAACTTCGGCTGAGTCGCCTGGCAGCAGAAGCTGGGCCTTTGCGTCTTTACAAGAGGCGCCAGATGGTGATTTCTCTAAATTCGGGTCCTTTGTGGGGTCCTCATTATAAGGCCCCTCGAATTAAGGGTGCCCAGAAAGGGAAACGGAGTACTCAGCATATGAGCTTAGGGTTCAGACATGGACTGTCCCTGGGGGGCTAAGGGATTCGATCTGTGAGCTTTATGGGGAACCCTAAACCCTAAACCCTAGACCCTAAACGCTAAACCCTAAACCCTAAACCCTAAACCCTAAACCCTAAACCCTAAACCCTAAACCCTAAACCCTAGCAGCGCCACAACGAAGATCGAACCGTCGTTGCCTAGCGTGTTCCTGCATAAGCAGTGCTGCTCCGTTGCGTTTACCAGCCATCCACCCTGCTCCCGCACGAGGGCGTGGGGCACAGCCTGTGATTAAAAGCATGCCACCTGAAATATGCCCACGATGGCCGGAAAATTGCATTCTTGTTTTAAGGAGCTCGAGGACCACGTTTGGAGTGTCATTGGACCGTCTTTTGCCCGGCCTTTTTTCCTAGGTAGGATAAGGGGGGCCCTTAAAAGGGAACCCCTTCTTAACCCTCTTCTGGCTCTCTTAAACAGGGACCTTATTCACAGGGTCTATATCTTCAAGGGTCCCCCTAATCCTATCCCCTATTTTCAATGCAGGTCAACAGTATCGCTTCACCCGGGTGCGAGAAACCAGCTCGGCGGTTCCATTTTTGTCTTGCCCGTTTAGGGTTTAGGGTTTAGGGTTTAGGGTTTAGGGTTTAGGGTTTAGGGTTTAGGGTTTAGGGTTTAGGCTGTTCCTCAAACTGGCACGCAGTGAAAGCAGAATTGGGCGCAGACGGCGGCCACAAATCTGGTTCTGCATCAGCTTTATGTAGTACCTTCCTCTCTCTAGATTAGATGCGAGGCCTTATATACACTCCATTAAAGAAAGTTACTGGGGAACCCTGATAGAAGCCCAAAGCCCCTTCATGTTGAGGACTTCGGGTTTGTCTAGAAACCCTAAACCCTAAACCCTAAACCCTAAACCCTCCGCCACCCTCAGGGCAATGAAGGCCATCCTCGTCTTTGAGACGCCGAAGGGCAAGCGCATGACTTTATCTCTCCCGAACACTGGCCAGCAATGGGCGGTTTCTCGGGTTTAGGGTTTAGGGTCTACTTGAAGGTTCATGGGTAGTTATGATTCGGGTTATAGGTATTTTACTTGACTCTATAGTATAGGTTACTTTACTTACAAGCCTATACTTAGAACGACCCATGAGCCTTCAAATAGGTTTGTAAGATAAGCCGTTCTGACAGTCCACGGCTGGAAAGGGGTAGAAGTGGGCAATCTCGAAAGCACCTTTCATCGTTTCAGCATTCCTAGAGACCCGAAACCCTTACCTGCAGGTTTTTTTGGACCCCAAACCCTTAGCTGCAGATTTTTTTTGTGCAGATTTGTTTTGTTTTCAGTACATTTGGGGTTTATCTAAACGAAGGTCCATGGTGGGGTACCAGGTTTCTCGAACTAAAAAGACTCCGCGCAAGAAGTCTGAACCACAAGAGGGTCGCTAAAACCTTTTGAAACCTTTTGAACTCCTCAACTTACGCGACATATTTTACTGGGTATCCAAAACGGGAGTGGCTCCCGAGACCTTAAACCCTAGGGAGACTGAGACGTTAGACCCTAAGTCCTTGACCCTATAACAGCAGTCAGTCTCGCAAGCCCGGGAAATTTGAGCCCTTCAGCCCTAAACCCCTAAATACCTGAACCTCCTCAACCCTAAACTCTAAACCCTAAACCCCAAACCCTAAACCCCCCCCCCCCCCCTCCCTCTAGCTGAGAAAACTGACCACGTGCCCATGACAAGAGGAGTAGACCACCTGGCTTTTCCATTCGAGCCTTGGCATGCAGTGCTGGGGGGTTTTAGGGATTAGGGTTTAGGGTTTGTGAAATCCACCTCTTTGTGACAGCTGCGAAGGGACATGTGCTGACTTTGCGGTTGCAGGGCTCGCAGCCTCTCGCTATGTAGGGGCCAGGAGTCGCAGGGCTAAATCGGCCATCACTTGCAATGAAGTTCCTTTGGGACTGTGTTCCTCGCCCCTGGTGGGAGACAGACCCAGCGCACATGAGCACCAGTCAGCTTCGGAAAAGAAGACGTGCAATGGCAAGGTATAGAGATCAGCACACATATCGGTACGCTACACCCATTGAAATGATTCAGGCCTCGTTACGTGAGAAGGTGGATCACCTTGAGCAGATCCAGGGTTGAGGGTTTGGGGTTTAGGGTTTAGGATTTAGGGCTTAGGAAAACCGGGTAAACTCCGAACCTGAAGCCCCCGCCACCCAAGCCTTCAAGATTCATGTTATCATGGCCTACGTTTCCCTCTGCTTGTTACGGCCTTGCTTCTCTGAGGGTCCAGGCAAGGCCTAAAGCTGGACATGTTTTTCCTTTTTCCGTTTGGCTGCAAATCTCATCCCGGCTCCTTGAGAAAAAGAACAGGGGAGGGGAGGGTATGCAAGGGAGCGAAATAGAAATGTAAAACAAAAACACAAACAAACAAAAACAAATAAACCTCAAACCCCCAAACCCCCAAACCCCCAAACCCCAAACCCCAAACCCCAAACCCCCAACCCGCTAAGCAGGTTTTCCACCGATGGATGTGGTACGGGTGGTGGGCCCACCCGCCTCGGATCTGGGCATTCAGGCAGGCACAAGGGTGCTTGAGATGATGGATCTCGGGTCTCGGGGCTTTGTTAAAGTGCTCATGGTCACAGTTTTTTTGTGGTTTTAGCGATTTTGGAAGTCTACCTTATATGCTTTATGTGTTATATACTGTGAAACTATATATACATATCTGTAAAAACAGAAATATAAATATGAATAAATAAAATAAAACAAAATACATGATTTATTTATGTATTTGTATATACATGCATATACATAATATATATATATATATACACTATATATATATATATATGTATATACATATACATGTCTATTTATATTTATATTTTTATGCTACAGCTCAGGGTGCATGGTCCGGATGCCACGCAGCATATACTTCATTCAGCTTACTGGCCATGTGGTTCTCTATTCCCTTTTAGAACTAGTAATTGGGATGGTCCCCTTTATACTAACAGTCCTTAGTAGGGGGATCATAGTACCCCCTATTATGATCCCCCTATTCAGGACTGCTAAGCTAGTATAAAGGGGAACATCCCAAAGTAGTAAGTCCTTGCAGTAGCCAGGCACATCCTCAAGCAAGATCATCTTCTGAGTAGGCTCAATCTTTGTGGCGAGGCTGGTCGTACCCTAAACCCTAAACCCTAAACCCTAAACCCTAAACCCTAAACCCTAAACCCTAAACCCCGAGTGTTACGTAGTGCCAAACGAGCAACGCCCTTCGGCAAACGCCATTGGCTCACAGGGTCTCGCAACGCTTGCTGTTTCACTTGGTGGCCCTTCTCATGCCTGGGTGGAGAGGGTTTAGGGTTTAGGGTTTAGGGTTTAGGGTTTAGGGTTTAGGGTGATTCTCAAATGAGATGACCCCGTGTCAGCGCTTCGAAGCTCATCTTCTCGACATCCTTCACAACTAAGCATCCTTTGTGCTTCTTCATCCACCAAGCCCCAAAGCCCGTAAATTCCAGCCCAATACCCCGCTCAAAGGCTTTGTAAGAAGCCCCTACATAGGCAACGCACATGGAGAAATCAAGTTTAACACTGTCTCTGTCTCTGTCTCCCTGGCTCTCTTCCTCCCTCCCTGTCCCTCCCTCCCTCTCCTCTTTCCACCTCTCCTGCTCTCTACTCTCTGCACTCTCCCTCTCTCTCTCTCTGTCTTTCTCTCTGCTTTCTCTCCCTTTAGCTCTCTCTGCTCGCTCCATCTCTCCTCCCTCTCATCTCTATCCTCTCTCTCTCGCCGCTCTCTCCTGAGCTCTCTCAGCTATCCATCTCAGCTCTCTCTCTGTCCCTCCCTCTGTCCCTCTCTCTCTGGTTTAGGGTTTAGGGTTTAGGGTTTGGGGTTTAGGGTTTAGGGTTTAGGGTTTAGGGTTTGCTCGGAACCGCCCTGAACCCGAAGCTCTCTGGTGCAGGTTGGCTGGAAGCTAGTCGCCTGGGGAGTGAATGAAGACGCACCTCGGTGGATCTTGCTGCTGCTCCCCTCGAAACAGTTTTAACCCCTTTTGCACTTCAATCTTGCAAGGGTTTAGGGTTTAGGGTTTAGGGTTTAGGGTTTAGGGTTTAGGGTTTAGGGTTTAGGGTTTCAGTTGCTTGCCTCTTCATGAGTGATACTCGTGGTAGGCCTAAGTTGACCCTGCTGGTGGGGAAAGTCGTGCAAGCCCGTGTGAAGCTGGGCTTGTTTGCCTACATCCTCAGATGTCATAGCTTATTTTTACGTTTCATCCGACCATCAATTAGGGTTTAGGGGTTTAGGGTTTAGGGTTTAGGGTGCCGTGCCATGCTACTGTGCGCCATGTCTGGGGTCGTTGCCACTCCCGGAACTCAGGCGCTGTTATCCTAAACACCTCACGTGGCAGAACTTGAGAGCTGCGCGTCGGGGTGCATGGCTTCAGGCGCAACCGCGATGAGAGGTCACCCAGGGCCCGAGTTTTGGTGATGATATCCAGTTCAAGCATGATGTTTGAGCGTCGCTGTCGTTGGGCCGTTTTGAGCCCCACCTCGAGCGGACCTTGCTCGCGACCCTCGCGCACTGTTCCGCGTCTGCCCTGAACCATGTCCCCCCCCCCGCCCCCCCCCCAAAAAAAAAAAAAGAACTGCACCATGACCCCCCCCCTCCCAAAAGAAAACTATTCTAACCAATGACCCCAAGATGAATTAGCCCCCCCCCCCCCCCTAAAAGCAGCCTTTGACCCAGCACCAGCAGGCAGAAACATGCCTGTGCCAAGGAGCTGCACTCCAAGTCGACGATTTCAAAAAGCAGCGCCCTGCCGGCTGTTGAATGCTTGGGTTTAGGGTTTAGACTCTGGGGTCTAGGGTTTAGGGTTTAGGGTTAGCGTTTAGGATTTAGGGTTTAGGGTATGATGCAAACGTTGAACGCTGACCCGCGGGTTATTCTGTCCAGGACTGTAGGTTGGCGGTGCTGTGCTTTGCGGATGCTTAGTGTCTGACTTTGTTGCTGCAGGTTTGGGCGACACATTGGCGAGTTCCCCTGTTCAGGGCTAGGTTTGAACATATGAACAGAACTTGCAATCTTTGTCTTGGTAGCCCGGTGGTACCCTTTAGCTTTTTTTGGTTATGGGTTCCCTTATAAAATAACCAGCCCAAAAAGGGGTGCCCGGAATGATAATATGGTTACTGGGCTACCAAGTAATCCCTGTATAACCCTAGTCAAGCCACAAAGATTCAATTTTACAGGGTCCCCAAACCCACCCCAGTGTTGTGGTACCTTGGCCAGTAGCTAGACGCGTCCAAGACCAGCTTTGGTCACTGAATCACGGGCAGCTCGCGCTTTCTTCTGCTTGGAGGTGTGCTCCATCCTCAGTCCTTAAATCTCAAGTTCTGCAGCAGATGTCAAAACAGGAAGCCGCAAAGGCTGCACAACTCTGCCCAAAGCGTGCCCAACACCCTCCTCTCGGGCCCCCCCCCCCCAGACAAGTGGAAGTCCATCACACATATCGCAAAATCGGGTGGGCGGGGGGGGGGGGGGGGGTTCGCACAACCCGCAAGCTTGTCTTACGTAGGCCTTTAAAAAAAAATTCAGTTCTTAAATACGGGCCCACAATTGCCATCCAGCCAACCAAGGCTTAAGGGCCCCGCACAGGCCCCTCGTCCCTTTCACAGGCCCCTATTTCTAACACGAAAGCCTTCTTTTTCAGGCAGTTCCGGAAAAGGAACCCTAAGCCCTAAACCCAAAGATCAGATTGCAGAGAGCTTCCCATTCCGTGACAAATTCTGTGATTGGTTTAGTAGAACAGGTGACCTCCGCGACAGCTTCACGGATTTGATCAAGAGCCTGCCGCGTCTCGAAGCGCCATCAGGAGACAGCTCTGGGTGGGAGATTGCAAGGTTTAGGGTTTGGGGCTTAGGGTTCCAAGGTCATGGGCCCCAAGCCCAAACCAACAACGAGCTAGGCACTCACACATGCGGATTTGGGTTCAGCTTGCCAGAGAGGCTTAGGATTCAGGATGTATTTGTCCACCTTGCCAGCACACCCGGTTCGTGTCGACAGTAAGCCTTCGGACTTCGGACGTCGCAGTTGTACAGGGGTTCACGACTTACAGGGTTTCCAACATGGCCTTTCAGCGACACCTGAGCGTAAGTGGTCGGACAAGTGTGTGGCAGGAGGTACACCGAAATCCGCCGATGCCTCTCTCAGCGTCAAGGCCGTCGCCAGCGAAAAGAGTGTCAAGGCTGTCGCCAGCGACAAGGCCATATGGGGCGAGGAATGGCGCTTAGGGTTTGGGCTTCGGGCCTCTTCAAGCATAAGCGGGCCTGCCATGTTTTGCGGTGCACTGGAGGAGGACATGGGTGAAACGGGCCAACCTGGACTAGTTACTTTGGTTCCCAGGCAGCAGACGAGCCCTCGCCAGCGATGCGACCCGGCAGATACCCTGAGCGTTTAAAAGCATCGAACGTCTGAACAGTGTTCTAATATTATGGTTTTGCTGTTGGATGCTACCAGGGTTGAAGCCCAAACGCCCATAACCCGACCTCAACCCTAAACCCGAAACCCTGATTCCTCCAACCCCCCCCCCCAACCCCCACCCCCCTCCCCAACCCCCCCCTCCCCCCCAACCCCCACCCCCCCAACCCCCCCCCCCCCCCCCCCCAACCCCCCCCCCCCCAACCCCCCCCCCCCCCCCCGAAACTCTACGTTCAACCTTCAGAGAGTCGAAACCGTAAACCCGAAACCCTGAACCAGTTTTGGGCTACCAGAGCGAAGTTATCATGGCTTACAGGGTTTTAGAATCAGGGAAGTATCATCTCACAAAGCGCCGATCCCTGCCTAAGCCCGAACACCGAAATTGAGCCCTGTGTAGTTGCAGCGAGGTTGCAGAAAAGCCCCGAAACCCGAAACCCGAAACCCTAAACCCTAAACCCTAAACCCTAAACCCTAAACCCTAAACCCTAAACCCTAAACCCTTTTCGGCTCATGCCTAGGGCTGGGATGCCCCGATACAGATGTGACTGAAGCTGATCCCTAAACCCTAAACCCTAAACCCTAAACCCTAAGCCCTGACATCTAAAAGAGGTCATCGGGGTTGTAAAAACAACCCTAAATTCTTTTCGTAGTGGGGCCGTGTCTGAGCTTACACCCATCGTCCCGGATCGTTTTATTATTCAGCACTTGACACTGACATTCAACATGGTCCAGGCGATAAGAGGTTGCTTCAGGCTTAGGGATCTGAGTCTTGTGCTGATCTTCCTCTCTTAGTCTCAGCTGTTCGCCACGGAGATTTCCTGTTAGTCAGACTCGCCAGGCAGTCAGACTGCTGCTTACCTTCTTCCCGCGAGTGTGAGTGTTGAAGCCTTCAACTACCACTTTACTGTCAATAGGGTTCAGGAAGCCTTGTGACTGAAAAGGACGCCTGGAGCCTAAGCACAAGCCTAAAGCCCGGTAACTCCAGTGCTCCTAGCCAGTTGCATTTCCGAGCAAAATTGCCGACCCGGAGGGGGGTAGGTTTCAGGGTTGACGGCCGAACCCTAGATACTGCAATGCGGTGTGAAGGCTGCTAGGCAGGTCTGGCAGAAAACCTGAACTAGCCAACCCTCGTTTAGGGTTGAGGGCTTCCCCCAGATCACGAACCCCAAACCCCCAACCCCCAACCCCCAACCCTCAAACCCCATACCCCCCAAAATCCCCCAAGCCCACACAAATCCCCGAAACCCCCCTAAATCCCCCAAAACACCCCACAAAACCCCCCAAAAAACCCCACAAAACCCCCAAACCCATCCCCACTCAACGAGGAAGCCTGGACGATGGGTCTACGAGCTGGATGCCAGGAGCCCAAACGATCGACGTCGGAAGCGACATACACGGTTCTTAAGATGCTTAGGGCTTAAGGATTGAGGGTTTAGGTCGGGGTTTAAGGATTTAGGGCTTAGGGTTTAAGGATTTAGGGTTTAGGGTTTAAGGATGTAGGGTGTCCAAGAGGCTGTTCAGGGTAAAAGACGGCAAATCAGAGCAGATCCTCGTCCAAGCTTTGGGGGTTATACGTTTTGGTTGAAAGGACCTTGGGACCTGTTTTGCTTTCCCTTGTTGGTGTGAGCATTTTAGGGTTTAGGGCTTAGGGTCTAGGGTTTACTTAATTGTAAGTAGGGTTGCAAGCCCCTGCATTATGGCTACAATGTAGATGACCTTACCGTGTCAGAAGCCGACACAGGGGTTTAGAAGGTAGCGCTTATGGTACAAGAGTTCAGGGCTTATGGGTACCAGAGAGTAGTGCGGAGCTTATGGTACTGACAAGGGTTTCGGGTGTACCCTGTACAAGTTCTTAGGGTAGTTACATGGTCCCTCAATATGTGCCCCGAATAGGGGAAGCCTTTTATACCCTATAACCCTAAACCCTAAACCCTAAGCCCTAAACCCTAAACCGTTTCGGTGATAACCTTCCGCTGAACCCGAAACCTTCCTGACGCCAGAGTTCAGGTGACCGTGGAGCGGGCGAGTAGTCTGCGTGACGCAGACTGGGCCCCTGGTGGGGGATCTTCCGACCCCTACTGTGCACCTGGGACGTCAGCTTTGGCTCACCTTAAGCCCTAAACCCGAAACCCTAAACCCTAAACCCTAAACCCTAAACCCTAAACCCTAAACCCTAAACCCTGGCCCTAAACCCTAATTAAATCCTAAATCCTAAACCCGAATCCTTGCTCTAAGGAACTTTGAACAACTTCCTAAGGGTGATAGAGAGCTCGAAGGTGCCATTTCAAAGGGTTCTAGAGTGGACCATGTGGTGCGCAGAGGTTTAGGGTTTGGGGTTTAGGGTTTAGGGTTTGGGGTTTGGGGTTTAAGGGTGTAGGAGCGACATGTACCTTCCTTGACAGCACGGACCATTCTAATATACATGGCCTTCATAGATTAGAATAGGAATTGAGAGCCAGTAGTATAACTATATATAAGGACTACAAGGGAAACTTTTAGAAATTATTCCCCCCCCCCCCCCTTATCGATGAAACGGCCCCACTTACTTTTGGCCCGCGGTGGTATCCCTTTTCTGGGCCAATTTTTGGGATCTTTGTGTTTTTCTCATTAGAGTTGTAGAGTCGAATGGCCGTGGCTCTCGTGCTGTGCCGTCGAGTTCCCATAGAGTGCCCTCAGATCCGCGCCCCTTGCGGCACAAGACCAGTCTTGGGTTCATGTGAAGCACGTCCTGAGGTAGAGGGTTTAGGGGTTCAGGGTTGAAGAAAGGGCTTTCGTTAGGGGTTGGGGTGCGCTAGCTTCTTGTCAGCTGACGAGCTGGACCGACATCAAAGAGTTGGGGCCACTTCAGCTGGAAATCATCTCACCCCAAGCCTTTCGTAGTTGGAAATCGGTACCAACCTGAAACCTGAACCTCAAGCCCCAAACCCTAACATTTTCAGGGGTGCTGTTTTTGGGCACAGAACTCCCTACTTCTCGGCTAGGAACCTCTTTTGGGGGTTTAGGGTTTGGGGTTAAAGGGTTTAAGGCTCTTAGAGCTGAATTGCGCGTGCCTGCGCGAAGGTTGTGACAGTGCAGGGCAAGGGTGCCTCGGCTACCCTGACCTCAACCCGAGCACCTTATATATCCCCAAGCAATGAACCCCTCATTCAGCGGATCCCCCCCCCAAAAAAAGGGCACGCGCGTGTCGGGAAACCCCCAGCTTGGGATTTGTTGGAGGGTTTCGAGGGACATGTTGTTCATTTTCCCTGCTTGGGGTTGAAGGGTTGAAAGGGTTTCGGGGGGTTTATCATGGGACCCTACGTTTGGGGAACCTTTGTGACTCTAGTGCATTCCAGGGAACCTCTTAGGGGTACAAACTTTAGGGGTGCAAGGCTTAGCCCCTTGAGTTTAGGGTTTAGTGTCTATAGGGTCGAGGTTTTTGAGTCTCGCGCCCTATGCGTGTTTGGGACGATTGTCCAGTTCCCAACCGTTAAGTCCCACACTGTGGGTTCCAGGGACTTGTGGTGGAAGAACTTCTTTCGTCCATGAAGGCTTCTGGGGATTTAGGGCTCATAAGTTCGAAAAACCCTAAACCCTAAACCCTAAGCCCTAAGCCCTAAACCCTAAACCCTAGGGTTTAGGGCTTGGGTGCAGCTTGGGAGCCAGGGGGGTTTTGGCTTGGGGCCGCTGAACTGCTGTAGCAGCCCTCGTGCAGTGGTTTTCGTGGTAGCATCTGCAATGCGATGTATAGAATCCATTTAATTATCGGGGGGGGGGGGGGAGGTAAAGGGTTTAGGGGTTAGGGTTCAGGGTTTAGAGTTTAGGGTATAGGGGCCCAGCTGATGCTCAGAGCCTGGGTTCAACAAGGGTTTCGGGTTTAGGGGCGCAATGTACCGCCAGCTGCTTTTTCTGGCATTCCCCACCCAGCCCAGATGAAAAAAAAGGGGGGCGCAATGTAATGCTTCAGTGTTTCAACTACCACATCGTGTTGGAGACAGTCTCCGCCGGCCGAGGAAAGTCCACGTTCAAGACGAAGGTCGTGAACAACAATCGGGATCCAGTGTGGAACCACAATGCCAAGATCAGTGACATGCATGATGGCCGCAGCCTCAGAGGTCGACGCAAGATGGGCAAGTTGGGATGCCGCGATCCACCAGCTTAGCATTGCAGCAAACTGCACCGACTCAAAGATCTACCGCCGTGCCGACTTCTCCAGCAGGGGACAACTACCGAGGCATTCCTCTAGCTCTTGTTGTTCAAAGACTGTGAGACGCCTGTTGGACGAGCCATAGCAGCCCTCCGAAGTACGATAAACCCTGAAAGCAAGGGCTACGGATGGAATCAAGACAGGTTCCAAGCTTGCCCCTGCACGGGGCATTTGTTTGCCTGGCCGACTGGGGTACACAATTCCGACCAGATAGGATTGAATCACTGAGATAGATAGGATGGGGGATAAGCATAATTACAGTCCATTCTCTTCACGCACTTGTACTCAATCCCTCTATGGGGCATACATCGTTCTGTGGTATTTAAACAATGGATTTGGTGGCCCGAGCGTAGATGACAAGCATGCTTCGTTTATGGGATTTGGTGGGCTCGGGATTCTCGAGGGTGGTGTTCTCTGCGTGTGGTGTGGAGTGGTCATTGCCAGTACACAGCCGCCACGGCACCAATACTTGCCCTATTGAGTTGCTGCTCAATCCGTGTTTGTATTCAGTTTCAGCTTCCCTCACCCTGCACAATGGCCCGAGCGTTGGGCATTTTGATGAGTTTCACAAGTATGGTGCAGATTGATGGCTTTTCCATCAGCAGGTGCGACCCCGACCAGCATGTGCCGTTCGCTCCAACTTCCTGTCCATCTGCACCAGGTTCACCAAGAACGGCCGTCCTACAAACCAGCTCCTTGACCTGGACCTTCGTCGGCATGTCTTGTCTTGCAGCTGCAAAGTGTGGCAGGTGCAAGAAGACGCCGCGATCTATCATTGTGAGGCGCAAGGCCAGTTTCCAGGAAAACTTCGAGAAGAACCTATCTGTGGAGCCATGGGAGTTGGCATTGACGGAGGATGCTGCGAGAATTGCAAGGATGGGCAATGCGGGCATTCGCCAAAATGTGCATAAAGGTCAAGATGTGGTCAGGGCCCTGGAAAAAGCGGCTGAAAGGGGGTTCCACTCCGGCACTCGTGGTGCTGGCGGCCAGATTGCTCAGTATGGTAAGCAAGCATCCAAGGCCGCCCCCTGGATTGCAGGTGGTGCCGCAGCCTATGAGTTTGCCACAGCCGACACAAACAACGGACGGGCCAAAGCCGTTGTCAGCAATGCTGCTGGTTGGGGTGGTGCAATGGGCGGGGCAGAAATGGGTGCGGCTGTGGGGGCATGTGCAGGTCCAATCGGAGCTGCACTAGGTGGCATCGGCGGAGGATTCCTTGGAGGCGCTGCAGCCGCAGCTGTTTCGGACACCATTATCGACGGCACCATCGAGGATTGAGTTCAAAGCGGTTTTGGAGCTGCTTTTTTGATTCCTGCCACCAGCGCCGGTAGGCAGCCGTCTACACTCCCACCTTTCATTGAAAGTATGTGCTGTAGAGCTGAAGATGCGCTTCACCAGAAAGGCTGCCACGATAGCGTGCGGGCGAGCCAAAAGACGCGATTTGTCGAATTTGTCTGCCCTTTTGGCCTGCATTGTACGGCCATTCAATGAATGATAGGTCCTAATCTGGTTCTGAGCCCGACGCGCCCGGAAAAGCTTTGGGGATAGTCATCAGCCCTGCTCGAGATAAGGCAAGTGGATGTCATGCAAGGCAACTGCTTCTTTCATTCCAGCAGTGCATGAGCGTCTCACTCTAGGTGGGCGGAAAGAAAGCTACTCTGAGCTACTCCAGACAGAACCCCTATAATTCTAGTTGTACACGAAGACTCCGAATACCGAGGTGACCTATTGTTTTTCGAGATTTTTGATCACGACGTGGTCGGAAAGCACGACTCCCTTGGCTTCGCCTCCATAGGCCGCGCGCTTTGACTTCTGTTGTGGGAAACCTCGAGGGTGCGAAGTTGGTTCAGGGTTTACGTCAGAGTCCTGATAGATGAAGCCGGTGGGTTTAGGGTTTGGGGTTCTTAGCTAGTTCGGCTGCTCGGACCAGGCCCAGTACCGGCTTCATACCCCTAAACCCGAAGCCCCAACGCGAAAGGAACCGGCTCATGCACCTCGCAGCTTCATGGAACGAAACGAACAGCTTGAAGGTTAGGTTCTGAGACCGTCCCGCCTTCTCCAAATTGATTGAAATTCTGGGATGCCCAGTAGTACCTTATTCCCTTTTGGGGGGGGGGTTAGGTTCCCTTCTCAAGCCGAGAAGGGCACCCTTTTGAATCCTAGGTTGCTGGGCAACCTAGAATTGTTTAGGTGTTGATACTGAAGACAGGGTTCCTGGAGCTAGGGCTTTTGGTTTGGGGCTGAGGGTTCAGGAAGCAGAATGCCAGGCACATGAGGGCAAGGAAGTCGAGAGAAGCTGCAGATGTTATACCGACAGTCCCTATTGATATTCGGGGGTACTATAACCCCTTATCAAGGACTGTTAGTACCAGGGGGAACATCCCAAGGCCTAAGCCCTAAACCCAAAACCCAAAACCCTTTTAAGCTGTACCTTGACTCGAGCCCTCGAGCCAAAATCACAAGTCCAGCCAGGCAGTGGCCAAGACAAAGTGGCTGAGCCCATAGACCCCAAACACATCTAAAGCCCTAAGGCCCAAACGGGTTTCGGGTTTAGGGTTTAGGGTGTAAGGTCTAGGCAGGTTTAGGGTTTGGGCAAGCTGACGCCAAATTCTGTGTTCTGGAGGTTGGGAGGAGCTCCAGGAGGACTTTGGATGGGAGGGTGCGGCCTGATCGTCTTGGTAAGTCAGTGGTGCCCTTTACCTCTTGTTTTTGTTTGTTGGTTCTGGGTTCCCTTCTAAAGTAACCAATCCGACAAAAAGGGGTACACTCCAGTGTGTATATATGTATACATATAGGTGGGTTATTGGGACATTTTATATTTTCCCTTATGGGGTTGAATAGGATCGTATTCAGGAATGTTTTTCGGAGGGTTTTAAGGGTCATCCTAGCCTATTTGCCCTTGAAGTCTAAGTGCTTGGTAGGGTTTCAGGGTTCAGGGTTTAGGGTTTAGGGTTTAGGGGAACGGGGTTGAGTTTCAGGGCTTAGGGGTTTCAGGGTTGGAACGGTTTGGGCTCAGGGTTCAGGGGCGGTACGGCTTACGACCCGAAGCCCTGAACGCTGCGGCAGTTGACAGACCTTCGCAAATTCAACTCTGACCTGCGACTCTGAAGATTAGGGTTTAGGGTTTAGGGTTCAGGGTTTAGGTTTTGGGGTTTAGGGTTTAGGGTTTAGGGTTTAGGGTTTAGGGTTTAGGGTTTAGGGTTTAGGGTTTAGGAACAATGGTGGAGGATGGGCCCTTGAGCTTCAAGCTTCCGCTGGAAAGCAGCGGCAAGGCGAAGGCCAGCAAGGCCAGGTGCCAAAGGGATGGGGGTGGGGGGGGGGGTTTAGGGTTTAGGGTTTGGGGTTTAGGGTTTAGGGTTTAGGGTTTAGGGTATGTATGTACGTATGTATGTATGTATATGGTGAATTCTCTAAATTTGGGTCCCTCTTTGACCGCTCTAAATAAGAGTTTTTTGGGGTCCTTAATTCACAGAAATCACCATATATATATATATATATGTATGTATGTATAAAATTACATTTATACATGACTTCATCCCATAGTTAAACCCTTATTAAACCCTGTTGGAGTTCTCAGGGTTAAGGGTTTATCAGGACCCTACAGGTAGGAGAACCTAAACCCTAAACCCTAAACCCTAAACCCTAAACCCTAAACCCTAAACCCTGCGGAGTGGCTCCTTGAGGGGTCAGCCAGGCGGGGGGCCAACAAAAAGACAACCCAAGGGTTTAGGGTTTAGGGTTTAGGGTTTAGGGTTTAGGGTTTAGGGTTTAGGGTTTAGGGTTTGGGGTTACCCCCCCCCCCCCCAAACCATTGAGAAACAGCCTCCTGAAATTCCAGGTGTGTGTGTGGCACGAAGCCCTAAACATCTAAACCCTAGACCTCCGGCCTCAAACCCCTAGAAACCCTTATATAAACCTTGCAATCCCTAAGCCCGCCAAACCCTTAGACCCGTATAAATCCTTACAAGCCCCAAGCCCTAACCCTAAACCCTCAAACCCGCATAAACTCTAAAACCCTAGACCTTAAAACCTTATACCTTTTCTCTGCCCACCCAGAACTCGAGCATCTCCGTCAAAGTGGTCATGGCCAAACGAAAGCTGGAGGTGCCTGGGGCTGTAGCCGCACGCCCCTTTCACTCATGATTGTTCAAGGGTTTGGGGCTTGAGGGTTTAGGGTTTAGAGTTTAGGGTTTAGGGTTTTTCTACCCCTTTCGCTCATATTGTTTCAGGGTTTGGGGTTTAGGGTTTAGGGTTTAGGCAATCCGAATGGCTATGCAGGCAATTGCGGAACCAGGTAGCCCTTCTCTACTGGGGTCGGTGAGGAGCAACGCCCTTGCTGCATGGTCCCGTCGTTGTTTGTGGTGTACATTGCCTTGGACCCGAAGTAGGCCCTTATTTCCCTTTTTTAGGGTTGGGGTCCCCTTATAATCCCCTTAAAACCAAAAAGGGCACCCTTTTGATTCCTAGGTTACTCCTGGGTCTAGTTGCTGAATTCGTGGAAAGTGGGCTTTGTGGGTAGGTTCGGGTGGTCTAAGTCTGGGAAGGGTAAGGCAGTTCCAGGGCATCGAACTCATGCAGCTCAGTGGGCTGAGGGTATAGGGCTTATATATATATATATTTATTTATTTATTTTTTCTTTATATTTATTTATTTATTTATTTATTTATTTATTTATTTATTTATAGATATATGTTTTTGTGAGGGGTTAGGGTTTAGAGCTTGAGGGCTTTAGGTTTTGCAGGGCGGCAAGAATCTTGACAGGGGCCTGCTGCATTTGCGGCAGTTGGGTTTTCGGGTTTAGGGTTTAGGGTTTAGGGTAATCACCAGCCTGCTCTCAGATGGGCCAGTCCCTGGCGACAAACCTGGACGGCCTGTTCAAGTTGTACGCCAGGGCCCCACTGCATCCTTTCGAAAAAGCGGGGTTGCAGCATAATTAATGCTATTCCTTGGGTTTAGGGTTTAGGGTTCAGGGTTTAGGATTTGAGGTCCTGGCATGGTCTCTGGTACAGTGTCTGCAGACTCTGTCTGCTGAGGTCAACATCATCTCAGCCGGGCACTCAGCATTTTGTGCGACCGCCGCTGTGTAGCCCAAAGGGATAGCAGGAGCGTGAGAGGAAGAAGAAGAAGAAAAAGAAGAAGAATAATAAGAAGAAGAAGAAGCCCAGCAACATCATCAAGAGCCACAGAATTATGAGAAGGTGAAGAACAGTCAGAAGAAGAAGAATACATGCAGGAGCAGGAGAAAACAGAGAGTTAGAGAGGCTCGGGCATGCCCCCCTCGATAGAAAGAATGAAGGAGAGAAATAAGTCTTCAGGATAGAACTAATTAAAGAAAGAGAGACAAAGAGAAAGAGAGGCTCCGGCCCGCATTCCCCTCAAACAACCCTGAACCCTAAACCCTAAACAATAAACCCTAAACCCTAAACAATAAACCCTAAACCCTAAGCCCTAAGCCCTAAGCCCTAAGCCCTAAACCCTAAACCCTAAACCCTAAACCCTAAACCCTAAACCCTAAACCCTAAACCCTAAACCCTAAACCCTAAACCCTAACCCTAAACCCTAAACCGTGGCACTGAAAGCGAGAGAGGAAGAAGGAGAAAGATAGAAAGAGTGCCAGTGAGGCCGAGCGATCGTGAGGGAGAAAGGGAAGAGAGGAGACAGTGAGACAAGCTTTGCACGTGAGCGTACAAGATCGGCAAGCCGCTCGCCACTGCAGGCCAGGAATCTACGGAACGCCGACCACTTTATGGGCGGCGGCAGCCGCTCGCTAAAAGGGTTCAGGGTTTAGTAGCAATGTAGCACAAGGCTTGATCCCCGCCGTTCCTTCCTCGTTCTGCAGGGCTTTCTTTGTCACGTTCTTTTTCAAGAATGAGCAGGGCACTGGGTCCCACTTTTGACAAAACAACGTCCAATCCTCAACATCAGCGCAACCCTCCAACATTGCATTCGCCCTGTATCAATGCAAGCGTGCCTCACATCGAAAAGTACAAAGTATGGCAGGAAATCAAAAGCCACTACCACACAATCGCTGCACCAGTCAGGGCTCTGTCAACCATAAGCCCTAAAGCCTAAAGCCTAAACCCTCAACCCAACTTAAGGGCGATGCACCAGGTTCAAGTTGGCTGCTCCCATAAAGATGGCACCGGCCAAGGTTCGGATCCCTACTGCAAGATGTTTGTCAAAGGGACCGGCACGACAAAGTACACGACAAGGAGACGGATCTTCGTCTTGAGCTCGCGATCTTAACAATAGCAATCAACATAATTGTATGTAATAGTTGCTTTTATTTAGTCACACTCTGGGTATATATGTATATATATACCCACACACTTAATTACATGTATGTTTTTATTACCCCCCCAAAAAAAAAGAGTGTATTTGTATATATACATACATATACACATACTGAGCAAGTCGACCGTTCCGGAGATGGGTAGGCTCTTTAGCCACTCTAATTACACCCTAAACCCTGCATCCTAAACCCTATAGAGCCCAAAACCCTTTGGGATAAACCCCAAACCTTAAATCTTAAACCCGAAACGGCCCTAAACCCTAAACCCTGAACCCTAAACCCTAAACCCTGAACCCCGGCCACAGCCAACAACTTCGGGTGGAGGGAGTCTTGGGGGTTACCAGGGCCCAAGTTTCGGATTCAGGGTTTAGGGTTTAGGGTTTTAGGGTTTAGGGTTTTAGGGTTTAGGGTTTAGGGTTTAGGGTTTAGGGTTTAGGGTTTAGTTTAGGGTTTTGGGTTTAGGGTTTAGGGTTTCGGGTTTAGGGTTCAGGATTTAGGGTTTGGGGTCAGAACCGGCGTCGCCGACGCGGGCAGGCAACCCCCTACACCCAAAACCCCTGGGGAGAGGCGCTTCAGAAGCCACAGCGCGCGTCAACCAAGAATCCTAAGCCCAAGCGACAAAAGCAGATGGAGCCCAAGTAAGGGGAAACCCTATCCTAAGACCCTAAACCCTAAACCCCGAACTAGACCTTAAGCCCCTAAACCCTAGCGGGGGGGGGGGGCGGGGGGTACTTTCCTCCCCTAGGGGGGTAGGGGGATATGGTTGCACCGTTCCTAGGTTTTTCAGGTGTTTCGGGGTTTGGTCAGGGATGTTTGACTGACGTTCCGGAACAAAGCAGGAACAAGCATTCATGCCTTCTGCGTACATGCCCAAAGCACTGGAATTGTCGGCTCTTTTTGCCTCTTTCTACAACATGCCGGGCAATGATGTTTGATGTTTCGGAGACAAGGCGCGCGGTCGCAAGTCATGCCTTATGCGAGCATGCACAAAACACTGGGATTTACAGCGCTTTTGCGTCCTTCTACAGCATGCGGCACAAGGATGTTTGACGTTTCTGGAGCAAGATCCCCTGCCCCTAATACTAGAACCACCCCTCTCCCCAGTAATTCTAGATTCGCCTGGGCCGGAAAAAAGTTAAAATTTGGGGGGGGGGGGGGGGGACCTAACGCACAAACTCGAAACGGTTGACTAGGACACAGGTTAGGCCCTTAATCTCTTCCCCCTAATATTACAGGGTCCCCCCCAGCCCCCGCAGTATAAAGACCCCCCAAAACCTGCAAAGGGTTTTTGGTATTAGGGGGGGTTCGTAGCGTTTGTCCGAACAAAAAACGCGTCCTTCTAGCTTGCTGGCTCAGTCATAGAGCAGGTTTCAAGCTTTAGGCCCAAAAAGGTTTCAAGCTTCCCCCGCCCACGAATTCTGTAGAGATATCAAGAGGGGCGACTGCCGGACCGGGTTTTGGGGCCAGAGGGTTTTTTTTTGTTTAAAAACTAGGGGTGTACTAATATTAGGAGGAAGGGATTGTTCGCTGTTTAGGGCTTCGGTTCCCTTAAAGCCCCAAAACCACAAAGGGCCCCCCTTTCCTTCGCAGGCTACTCTTGGGTCTGGGTTTGGGGCTTAGGGTTTCGGGTTTAGGGTTAAGGGTTATACTACCGGGCGGCGCTACCCCAAGCCTCTTGCAACAAGGGTTACATAAGGGTTTAGCTGTGTGCAGCACGTGCAGGACGATCAACGACAAGACGGACCCGGAGTGGGATGAGCAATGTGTTGCTCAGCTGATACTTCTACATCCCCTTGGGAATTATTTTGCTGATTTGTGTTTATATAAAAACCCAAGAGGATATGAACAACATATGTTTAGTAAGGTTCTAAGGGGAGTATAGTTGAGCCCACGGCTGACATATGTCTGTCACTGAGAGCCGACGAGGGACGCACAACGAAACTCGTAGAGTCCGTCCCCCTTGCAAAGCCGACGTGAGAACCTTGAACCCTCTTGACTCTTGAGCCTAAACACTAAGCCCGAAACCAACCCCAAACCCCAAGCCCTACACCCTAAAACCTCAGCCCTAAACCCTAAACCCGAAACCCTAAAACCTAAAACCTAAACCCTAAACCCTAAACCCTAACCGCAGCAACGGCTCTAGCCTGCAAAATCCCAAGCACCAAGCCCCAAATCCAGGTGGTTCCAGATTTCCACAAAGACGACATGCTCGTGCAGCTGGGCCAGCAATGAGCTGATGGTGCATTGCGGCGGCTGTACTACAGGAGCCAAAGCTATTGTTTCCATATCATCCCCTGACAAAACGTATCCCGAAATACCCAGTCTAAAAACTCTGGCTGTATCTTGCTCAAATTATGGGCACCCTTTTTGGGTATTGGATCAAAAAGCAGGGGCTCATGAATCAGATCAACCCTTGGATGCATCTTCGGAAGACAGCACGTCCTGTACTCCGAAACTCGTCAGTCATCAAGCACACCATAGGGTATGGGTTTTGGGGTTTAGGACAAACAAACGGCTGCTTATCATGAGAGAGAATCCCCAACCATCCTGAGCCATTCTTGGCTTGTAGGGCCGAGGCTTTTAGCCACCGATCACCCCAAAACCGTGCCTATGCGAGCTCTTGGAAAATGCGGGTGGGCTCCGCCGGCACGACCCCAAAACCCTGAGGTGCGCAGAAGGCAGTTATTCAATAACGGTTTAGGGTGTAGGGCTGAGGGTTGTTCCTCCAGCCATCAAACCCTTAACCCCTGCAATATCTGCGTTGCTGCTCATGAACTGAAAGGACGACACTTGAATGGTTCATAGGCAGTTTATAAGTCGGGTTCTCAAGTATCGCAGCGAATTGTATAGTATAGGTCGCCTGTCTTATCACTCTACTTATGACCGTAAGCCCTCAAGTACCCTGAGCCCCGAACCCTAAACCCCAAACCCTAAACCCCAAACCCGAAACCCTAAACCCTAAACCCTAAACCCCAAACCCCAAACCCTAAACCCCAAACCCTAAACCCCAAACCCAAAACCCTAAACCCCAAACCCTAAGCCCCCTTGCCATGGGAACGAAATGACGGCAACCCAGTCCAAGGTTCGAGATCTTCGACAAGGCCCCGGGTTGTCCTTCTGCGCATGGGGGGTTTAGGGTTCAGTTTTTTTTTTTTTTTTTTTTTTTGGGGGGGGGGGTGTTTCTTGGTTTTGGTTTTTTGTTGTTTTTTTTTTTGGGTTTGGGGTTTCGGCTTTCGGTCCTTAGAAGGGTCCTTGTGTTCTGCTACAGGTTACCCCTTAGTTCCGATGGTAGGGAAATTAGGGAACCGGTGTGCTGGACCCTAAACCTTAAACCCTGAACCCTAGACCCTAAAACCCTAAACCCTAAACCCTAAACCCTAAACCCAGTGGGGGGGGGGGGTCATTTCCGGGGCACCTGGGGGATGGCGGGCTTTACTTGCAGGTTCATGGGTAGTTCGAAGTCGTTATAAGTAAGGTAACCTATACCTATGACCATCATTAGGGCACTTATAACCCCACATGTCATAACCTATACTCTAAACTTCATGAGGGCACTTGTGATCCCACGTACTTCTAACCCCCCATGAACCTCCCCAAACCCTAATCTAGGTGGGCTCTTGGGACGTATCATATTTACCCTCAGTGGGTTTAGGAGGATCACATTCAGGAATGTTTGTTCAGAGGGCTTGAACTAAGTCGTCAGAGTTATTTGCTCCAGAGGATTGCGACTTATGACTTACAATTGCGCATCAGAGGATTGTATAACCCTAAACCCTAAACCCCCAAAAGGGCTTGAGGGTGTCGCGCCAGGATGTCGGCAAACCCTAAACCCTCAAACCCTAAGCCCGAAGCCCTAAACCCGAAACCCTAAACCCTAAACCCTAAACCCCCCAAAAGTGACAGGATGTCGGCAAGTCGGATGACTTCCTTGGCAGAGCCGAGCTTCCCTTCGCGCAGCTCGCGGCCCACGGCGCCACGGCCTGGGAGTTATGGGTTTTTGGGTTTTTGGGTTTAGGGCTAGGGTTTAGGGTTTAGGGTTTTAGGGGTTTCAGGGATTTAAGAAGTTTTTAGGGGTTTTTAGTGTTTTAGTAAGGTTTGTTAAGGGGATTTTAGGGTTTTAGGGTTTTAGGGTTTTAGGGCTTGGGGTTTTATGGTTTTTGGGGTTTTGGGGTTTCAGGGTTTTAGGGTGTTTGGGTTTTGGGGGTTTCAGGGTTTTCGGGTTTTTGGGTTTTTGGGTTTTTGGGTTTTTTGTTTTTTTTGGGGTTTCAGGGTTCTAGGGTTTTAGGGTTTTAGGGATTTTTAGGGTTTTAGGGATTTTTAGGGATTTTTAGGGTTTTAGGGGTTTTGGGGTTTTGGGGTTTTAGGGTTTTAGGGTTTTGGGTTTTTGGGGTTTTGGGGTTTTAGGGTTTTAGGGTTTCAGGGTTTTAGGGTTCTTGGGGTTTTGGGGTTTTGGGGTTTTAGGGCTTTAGGGCTTTAGGGTTTTATGGTTTCGGGGTTTTTGGGTTTGGGGGTTTTGGGGTTTTGGGGTTTTAGGGATTTTAGGGTTTTAGTTTTTTAGGGTTTTATGGTTTCAGGGATTTAGGGATTTTTAGGGAGTTTTAGTGTTTTAATCAGGTTTGTTAGGGTGTTTGTTGGGTTTTAAGGGGATTTTAGGGGTTTTACGGCTTTAAGGGCTTTTAGGCTTTTTAGGGGTTTTAGGGTTTTAAGGGTTTTGAGGGCTTCAAGGGCTTCAAGGGTTTTAGGGGTTTTGGGGCTTTTAGGTTTTTTTAGGGTTTTTAGGGGTTTGTAGGGTGTTAAGGCTTTTTAGTGATTTTTGGGGGTGACGGTACTCGTGACAAAACACTCAGCGTTCGGCTTTCCACAGATCCCACACAGTTCTGAGAAAAGACGCGGTTTGGATGTTAAGGGCAGAGAAGGTCTGCTGTGTTTGTTGGTATCAGCCTACAAGTCTTGCCTTTAAACCCGGCTTTCCCCCAGCTCACAAGGTTTAGGGTTTGGGTTGCCTATGAGTGCTTTCACAACTCATAATCGCACTATCATATACTCTCGTAGTTGGACAATGTTCTAGATAAGGGGTACAGTAGGTTCGGAAAATAGGGCGTATGCTGGCATTTAGAGAGGGAGTTGCGAGCCTGGGTTCTTGCCCATCCGATTTGAGAACGAATTCGCGGTCCAGTCCAAAGTGTTTCTCGAAGACCCTTAGCGCAAATCTCACATAGGGTGAGCAGCACGTATTCTGTGTATGCAAGATACACAAAAACTATGCACAGTATAGAATGTACATCATGTATATATGTAAATATGCATATATGTGCATATATGAACATGCATAGGGCTAAAAGTCCATCACTCCGAGTCTTGGAGCCGAAACCAAGATGGCATTGGCAAAGAAGTTCACGTGGGATCAGATGGCGCCCTTGCTGGATCCCTTCACCATTCTGGCCGCAAGTATGACCAGCCCTGCCATGCGAAGTTGCTGCGTTTCGAGAAATGGCCTGCTCATTGTGCCTGTCGTCTCTCTAGACTTTATGGAAGAAGACGGCGCTGATCCACTGGTTAAGAGCTTGCCGGCTATCGACAAGGCAGAGGTCACCCATATCTCCATCAACGATTTCGAGGATCCCCAAGATGGGTCAGATTTGGACTGCTTCGCACTCTGCGTGGGCTGGCTTCTGGGTCCCTTCACCAAGCTGCGCGCCTTTGACCTCTGCACAGGTCGCTCGATAAGGAATGCTTGCCCGTTTGTGACTGTGTTGAGAAATCTTCAGCACCACTGCCGTGCTCTGGAGATTCTGGAGTTCCCGGGCTACGGGCATGAAGTTATCAAGGCTTTGCCCTCTTTCAGGAACCTTCGCCAACTGACTTTATTAACTATCGAGACGACACCCGGGTGCCCTGCCGCTGTGCTTATCGACAAGCTTGCTGCTTGCACTGCATCCCTGCGCCACTTAGAAGATTTGAGATGCGATGTCGTCAGTTCCGTGGAGGACTGCACAACTTCGTGGCAGCGGTGCATGGATGGATTTCCACTGAAACGTGTGCGCATCATGTCGTGGTATGAGCTCAGCACATCTTGCCCAAGATTTTGTCCCAGCTTAGATGGCCCTCCAGCTGCCAGCTGTCCATGCTCGCTGCATTTTCAGGTGAAGAGCTCTCTGTGCTGGCTGCCGGAGTCTCTTCAAGCCGCGTCGATAATTTGCACATCTCCCTCCCAAACGGGCCGCAGCTTTCGGCTTTGCATGTTCAGAAATTCTTGGCGACCTTGGGAGGCTCGTCGCTGAGCAGGTTTTCTTGGGTGGTTTCCGACGACCTCCCGCCAGAGGTACTGGCATCTCTCGGGCGCGGCCTCCTCGGTTTGCTGGAGAACCTTTCATCGCTACGCAGTATGGGCATCTCTGTGGCTGGTTTCGACGATGAGAACCCTACAGCTAAGAATTTGATGTCTGCAGCGCAGGAGAGGGACATTGAGTTAACAGTTAGACCTTGAGCTTTAGCGAACGAGTTGAAAAGCATGTGGTTGTTGTGTGGTGTTTAGGTGGTGCTTTTTAGGTGGTGTTCGGTGGTGGTTAGGTGATGTTTAAGTGGTTAGGTGGTGTTCATGTGGTGGATAAGTGGTTAGGTGAGGTGGGTTCCGTGGTAGTTCGGTGGCAGCTTGGTGTGGTTAGCTGGTGGTGCTTGCCTGTTGGTGCCCTAATGTAATGTGGCCAACTGAGACAAATAGCACCGCCCCCACCCCCCCCCCCCCCCCCCCCCCCCCGGGCCCTAAGCACCCCCCCCCCCCCGACCCTAAGCACCCCCCCCCCCCCCAAAAAAAAAAAAAAAAATGATACTCCCGAAACCACAGTGCAACACTCAACACCTAAATCCTCTGTGTAGACGAACGCCTGAACCCCAAACTCTAAATATGAGCCCCGAATCCCATAGACCCCAATAGAAGCTAAACCCTGACCCTCACACAGAAACCCCTAATCCCGTAAACCCTAAGCAAAACTTCACCCTAAACCCTAAACATCCCTAAACCATCCCAGGTTTCGAGGGCGACGTTCGGCTACAGGACTGGTTCAGCCGTGGCAAAGGGTTTCTGGGTTTACGGTTTCGGGGTTTAGGGTTTATGGGTCTATGGGTTTATGGGTTCAGGCCTATGGGCTTGGGGTTTATGGGTTTATGGGTTTATGGGTTTGGAGAGTAGGGTTCACGCTTCAGGAGTCTATGGGATTCGGGGTTTAGAGTCT